ACTTTCGCTCTGTGGACCAAACCTTTTTTCTTAGATTGCGTCTGAATTTCAAAGGCACGAAGCTGAAAATATGAGTTTAATTATCAGTTAATATGGGTTTTCTATATACACATCTTATTGTACTGTCCTCTTTTCTAGTCATAAGGGCTTTTAGGAATAAAATGCTAGAGCTTCTTTCTTGTTCGTTGGGTAAAATTTATTGCGGCATGGACATCGTCAAATTTGTCAAGGATGTTCTTTGACTCATCTTCATTTTTCATAATGAAAAACTTGTCATCCATGTGACGACAGTAGAGTTCTGGTTTATCAGTCATATTCTTTCAAAGGGGAAAATGTCAGCTAGAATTGGTCCAGGAGGTGACAACCCCCCCCCCCATCGCCACACCAATTTGTCTCTACAATTCCTTATTAAACTAGTTGTTTTGTCTAAGCTCGGAGAACAGAACTAATTCAATATCATCCACCTGAGTTACAAATCTCTATTATTTCAATTCCTTATTAAATAAAAAACGGACATGTATTGTTTGATTGGATAATAATTAGTAACTAGTATAATGTGTCCAATCTTTTCTTTGGTGTAGACTGAATTCTATCGTCAGTTAATTTTGTGATGGGGCCACCATTCTAGTTGACTCGCCATCACGATGCACTGTGAATTGTTGATAATAGATAGTTGGAGCCAATCGGCCACAGAAAGCCCTGGCTGACTTAGGTCTCGTGCTAGTTGGCACTGTTTAGTCAGCAAGGCGTATCAGCAATCACCTTGAAGGACCTCATGTCCCTTCCGGGATTCGAAACCGTGTCACCCAGTGCTGTATTTATTGTGGATTTCGAAAGAATCTCTTTTATGAAAGATGCAGGAATGCCGACATCGATGTTTCATCCAATAAGTTCCTCGAATGTAAGGTCTACTCTTTCCATAATTGGTACATTAATTAGTGAGCAAGGTAGATATGTTAAACGGTGGCATGAATTTATTTATCTTTTATCCTTTCAAGGTGTCTTTTACGCTGTGTTTCACCAATTCAGGCTTTAAGAGTTTAACCCAACATTTGGCTATAGGATGGCATATATGTATATATATATATATATATATATTTGTAGAGCCGAAAGAGGAGTTTATCGAAAGGATACTCTTCGCTCGGATGCTTTTTTTTCTTCTGAATGTCTCAATGAGAATTTTCAGTACACAGTTTAGTTTAACTGAACATGAACTACGTCTATTAAGGCAACCGACAAGACTATTAAGTGGTTGTTGTTTGATTTTAAGAGATGAGGAGTTTACATTCATCATCAAAAATGTAGTTAGTCACAGATAATTGTGATTTGTGGAAAAAAACGAAAATAAAACAAAAACAACAGAATGTTTTAAGATTTTACAATATCTGTCAACTAAAATTTAGGAAAGAAATACCATCTTTCATTCTAAAAGGAGGCGGAGGCGTTGGCGTTGGCAACTCACAACTCTCCCCTTGCATCTCATCAGGCGAAACCAGAAGCCTATGTAGAAAACTATGTGCTCGCACTAGCAAGTATAAAAACTCAACCATTCCCCACTTAGCTCGTGTTCTGTGTGATAAAGAAAGCATTAGGCGTGATACCTATAACTTATTAAATAGCCAGTAGAACAACTGGGTCTCGTCTTTCCAACTCATATCATTTATAGGTGCAACTTTTTCTTTCTCTCTTTTCTGTTATGTGCTGCTTAGTTTCTTTCTTCCGCCTACGCCAGTAAATATGACAGCTCCCACTTTTCTAACACCTTCAAACACTGTTCAACTTTGGCTTTGCTACCGACATCCCAATATGTTGTTGTCATAATGAACTGAGATTTCCTTAATCTATGTAGAATTTTATTTATCGATAATGTACTAACTGGATGCAATACTGTGGTAAAAATGCTGAGAATTCCATTCTGTATCACAAGTACTGTTTTGGAATAAAGCATATTATTATTATTATTATTATTATTATTAATTCGTCAATACAACCCCGAACTCTGTATGCAGAAAAAGTTTGTCCAGTCTCTTATTCTACCATGGTCTTAACCTCTTCATTAGTCGTTCCCTGGAAATTTTTTTTATTATTTAATTTTGCTTTTAGTTTAATAATTAATTCACTGTTATCGCTCTCACATGTTCCTTTTGTACATTTTCTCACCCTCTTCACACTTATAAAATGGACAATCAACTACTTTTGCTCTTATTACTCAATAACTATTTTAACCTTGTCAAGTTTCTAATCATTTCTTCCTTTGTGTCGTTGAGTACTACGTAATTTGCGACTTTTATTTTTACTTTTGAATCTACTTCTGAGTAATTATATGAATTATATTACTGCCACCCTATTACTCAATAATAGACTACTATAAATATAAATACAACTGTACAGTACAGCCTCTGAAGATGATTTCGTCGATAAAAAATTTTCTTTTCTGAATCGTCTTTTAATTTCTTCAAAACCTAAGTTTATTAGAGATATTCCAATGTACACTGGTTATGTTGATTACTGTGTTGTGGCGTAAATTCAGTTTCATCTAGTTTGCCGCTATCTATTTCATACTAGACTGTATAGCTAATTCTTCCATGAAGACTATCACATAAAAAGAGTTTCCTCTTTTCTCCACTACTGAGCCTAATAGTAACGAAACCTGATGGAATGAAATATTAAATAAGAAGCTATTGAAGAATTAAAGGGATGTGAGATGCGAATATTTATTTGTATTTTGTAATCCACATCCATCCACCTTATCTAATCTGATCTTTATTTTAATTGAATTTGAGATTTTCCCGTCCACTGATTGATTGGACCGAAGTGCTCAGTCTCAGGTTGACATGTCGGCTTCTTGTGCAGATGCTTCGACAATGTCTGGGCATTTAATTAGAATTTAATTTGTGGATGGTGAGTAGCAGTGGAATCCAGGATGCACATTTCGTCCTATTTGGGACTCAAAGGGAAAATCTCAAATTCAATGAAATTAATACTACCGGTTGCACAAGATGTGGCTCTCTTGGCCCAAGTGGTCTAGTGGATAACGCTTTGGCGTTTGAAACTAAGGGTACTGGGTTCGAGCCTCGGTGGGAACATCATCACTCACTGGGAAATGCAGGTACATCCAGATGACGAGTTCCAAATAGGACGAGATGAGCATCCTGGATTCCACTGCTAGTCACCATCCACAAATTAAGTTCTAATTTAATTTTTGTAATCGTTACTACTTGAAATTGCAATAACTCTGTTCTTGTAGAGTTAACACCTTTACAACTAGACTCATACCTACAGTCCGTTATGTTTATTAGGTATCACTAATTAAGATAGACTATGATTGAGCATATCCAATACTTGTTTTAGGCAACAGTAAAGAATGGACACTAAAGTCAAACGACCTTGAACAAACCAATCGGATCGCTCAGCATCACAGAATGCATGCTTCGTTGCAAGTTTCATCCTAACCTTAGTCATAAACCCACCTCTTAAACCTACCCTAACCTTAACGTTGAATCAGGATGAGACTTCCAAAGAAAATTATGAAAATTATCCATTCTGTAATGCTGAGCGATCTGATTGGTTGTCTCAAAGTAGTCTGACTTTGGTGTCTATTCTTTACTGTTGCCATTGCTTATATTACTCAGATAATATACATGTTCACAGTTTTATTAAGTAATTTCTTCATTTGGAAAGTTCATATGTAATAATAATAATAATATTCATTTGTCTTATCGTTTATTACTGATAGAAAGGGGATAGACAGTACTTCTAAGTTATCAGTAGTCAAAGATATGTTAATATTAACTGTTACCATAGATTAGATTATATTTCACATGTCTAGTAGAATAAAGGATCTTCATGTAATAATAAGGTATAATAATAATAAGGTATAATAAGGTGAGCAATATTGAGGTTAGGCGTCGAGTGCTAGGTAAGGAGGGAGAGGAAATCAATCGACGAGGCTGTGAGATTACATCGACTGTGATGGTTAGGACATGTGTTACGTATGCCTAGTCATCGCCTTCTTCGACAACGGACAATGTTAGCTGATATAGGGTCAGGCTGGAAAAGAGCCAGCGGCGGTCAAACGAAAACATGGCACCAGTCAATGAAATCTACAACAGTTAGTCTAAGCCACGTAGGAAGGTGTAGACTTCCTGGTTGGGGTCCTCGGGACGGTAAAAACCAATGGCTGTAGACAATTGGTGACATGGCTCAAAATCGTTCTCAGTGGCGCAGATGCATCCACTCCTTGTGACTTATGATATCCAATGAAACTATATTGTTCTTCGTTATTACTATTCCTTTGTCTCACACCTCAACTTACTGTCTTTATTATGCATTAGGTTATTACTATCATAGTTCAATATATTCGTTTTACTCATTATCTCTTTTTCAACCTTATTGTACTTCAGCTGATACAGTGCTTTTATTTGATGAGCTGGATACAGACATTTGTGATACACTGCCCAATCATTATACTAAATGGTCGTATATCATTTTCAATGAGTGACTTAGAGCTTTTATACCCAAAACTTCATATCTAACTGCTGCATATATTTTATGGTCGTAGTACCACCACCACCGTACATTGGAAATGATGCTAAGCAGATGAAGGCTTCCAAACATGTAAACCTTCCGCACTCTCCGATCTTATAGATTTATATAGCACAACAGAACCCAATGGATTCACAGTACAATGGAATGTCTCATCTGCACACTGAGTGGTGCTAACCATCTAAATACTAAAACAGACATGTTTCCTAACTGCTACTTTTCTGCACCGAAGTTAATACGCAGTTTAGTTTATGAAGGCTGAATGTCCCTGTAAGGTATATTAATGTACAGTTAGCCAAACGGTCATAAGGGAAATAAGTAGTATATTCATAAACCACCACTTTTCCAATAATATCGTATGGAGTTTTTAAATAATCAAATTAAGTCTTGTTTAAGTATGTCGTTAACTTTCGAAGTTTTTCAAAGTAATTTCTTATACTTCTATTTTGTTCAAGTCAAATGATAAGCTGGATAACCGACGTCGTAAGCGAGGAAGACGACAAAGAAATAAAAATACCAGGGATGATGAAACATCTACAAGCAGTAAAGGAGAAGAAGTGGATGCTGATTCTAAAAATGATCCTTTCGCATCGCATCCATTAGTGAAACTTCAAGCAAAACGACGACAATGCCTAAGTAGTATCCATAGTATACACAGTCGACCCACCCTGCTACAAATGGTGAGTGTACATCTCTTTTATTTTATGTGATGTTTATAATCTTCTAAAACCGAAAGCCAACAATAATCATTTGATTTCGGTAATAACGATATATTGTAATTATTCCAAATATGAATTCCATTATGGGTAAATTTTGTTTTGATAAAGTCTCACAGTGTTACACAGTAATATAAACTGATGACGTTTCGAGCACAATTTATTGCTCATAATCATATCATATCATACCTTGATATGATTATGAGCAATAAATTGTGCTCGAAACGTCATCAGTTTATATTACTGTGTAACACTGTGTGATTTATCAAAATAAAATCTTATCCATAATGGAGTTACACTCAACCACAGTGCCCAAGTTTTATACTTATATCAGTATTACCTTTGATAGGTTTGATCGAATCTTGTATATTATTTTGAAGGATTTTTCGAATGGTGCTGAATGTTCTAAATTGACCAGATGTTCTGTCACTGAACTATATACACGTTTTCGTTCTCCTTTTACTAGCCAGGCTGGATGGTGTTTACGAGCGCGTTTTCCGAATTGGTGCATGGTACGGCCGATGTAGTCAGCTCCGCAACAGCAAGTAAACTGATATATGCACGTTGAAGTGGCCCAATGTGACAGCTTGTCTTTCGCGTTCTGTCTGAACATTTTCTTGCAGTAAAACGTCAGTCGTAGGCTCGCGGCGAAGTGTGTTTTCCTCAGAGATTTGCAGAGGCGTTTACGAAGGATCTCTGCTGAAGTGTCACCTTTGAATTTTAGATTAAGTAGAAGTATTTTCTTCGGGGCGGATTGGACTTGTTCGGAAGTCTTCTTTTATTTGAGATTCTCGTCTATGAACCTGGGCAGGAAACTGTTTTACATCGGGGTTTTTCGGAGATTACACAGGTCTGCTTATCTTCCGAATCCTTAAAGAAAGAGCGTATGTAAGGTTCCTTTTTCTGCTTAGGGCCACGAAGCTTTGGAAGTTGATTAACTGTCCATTCGATGTAGGCTTTTTGTATATGGACCTTTTCAGAGAGTTGTTGGCGTTTCTTATCAGATGGACGTCGAGGAAAAAGAACATTCCGTCGCATTCAGCTTCCAGAGTAAAGTTGATGTCTTGGTGGGCATTGTTGAAGGTTTGAAGTAAGTTTTCAAGGTCAATGTTCTCATCACAAATGATGAAAGTATCATCAATGTATCTCTTGTAGAGATGGAAGTCGTCGATAGTTGATGATAAGGAGTTGTTTTTTAGGTTAGCCATAAAGCAGTCGGCCAGGAGGGGTACTATGGGAGAGAACCCATTGCTACTCCATCTACTAGTCTGTATATTTCGTTGTTGAATCTAAAGTATACGTTGAAAGTGCATCGTAGTAACAGTTCTTCTAGGTAATGGATCGGTATACCAACATCGATGCTATTGAATTGAATGTAGTCACAATGGAAACATACGGTTTCTGTCAATGTAACGTTGATGAAGAGAGACGATATCCGAGGAGACCATTTTCATTTCTGCCACGTTGACATTCTTAATTGAATCAACAAAGTCGAATGTGTCACGGAGGTTGTGTCTTGACAGCTTCTCTTACACCGGCCTAAGAATCTCCACTAGCCATTTTGCGATGGAGTGATATGGGGAATCTATCATATCTAGTATTCGGCGGAGTGGGACGTCTTGTTTGTGCACTATAGGTAAGCTGTACATGCGCGGCGTTGTAGAACCAGATGGACGCAGTTGTTTGTATAGTTTTGAACTGATGATGGATTCGTATTTCATTTTCTTAAATATCTTCGTTAGCGAGAGCTCCGTCTGTTCGGTGGGATCTTTCTGTGAAGACTGTTTTTGAAACTTACTATCATCAGATAGTATCACCGATAGTTCGCTTAGAACTGAAGGGTAATGAAAACTTGATCATGACACGGCCAGAAAGGCTCCGGGATCGTATTGATGAACAAATCAGACTACCTTAGCAAACTCTCGGTTATACTATCTGATGATAATAAATTTCAAAAACAATATTGGGCCACTTCATCATGCATATATCAGTTTACTTGCTGTTGCGAAGCTGAGTACATCGGCCGTACCATGCACCAATTCGGAAAACGCGCTCGTGAACACCATCCAGCCTGGCTAGTAAAAGGAGAACGAAAACGTGTATATAGTTCAGTGACAGAACATCTGGTCAATTTAGAACATTCAGCACCATTCGAAAAATCCTTCAAAATAATATACAAGATTCGATCAAACCTATCAAAAGGAATAAAATTAAGACATCTGGGCATAGCCAAGGCACTAGCCATCCAAAAGCTCAAATCCACGCTATGTACCCAAAAGAAATACGTCCAACCCTTGTTCCTGCCATGGCCATCATAAACAGGTAATTCTTCTAATAGTGACTATCCCATCACCTTTCTTATCCAAACTTCCCTTTTGTTCATGTTATATTAAGTTTTTCCTAATCCCTATTTACACTACCATATTTTCATATCCGAACTTCCTGTATATTTTGTCATTTTATTATTTCTACATATTTAATCTCTAACTGCATAAACAATTATTCGTCACATTAGTTATGATCCTACTGGAGTTTTTATCCAAACATCCTGTCTGTTTTTGTTATTTCTACATTTCTAACCCCTAATTGCACAATATGTCGATCTTCTCAGTAATTATGATGCTACCTTGTTTGAGTTTTATCTGTCCCCCTGTTTATTATAGCATTTTAATTCCTAATTGTAATCTTATTTTATTCTGGAACTTTTCCACTTATTTGTAAAAAATACACGAATGAACAGCCTAGTTGATGACTTCATCGCAAAGAAAATATTCTTTGTTGGAAGCATCCTTTTAAATGTCTCAGTTTGAATCTCTTCAATGTCCTAGTTTTTTCTGTCATTAAACAGGTTCCTCTATTCTTCTGCAAGTCATTTCATAGAGAAGTTTGTCAATACTTGTTTTCTTTGAAGTCAACTGTCCGCCTCCTTCCTGTGGCTTAAGTGTTTTCACAAGACTTAAGTCAAATTTCGTGCTCTCAAGACACGAGTAGAAGCGCTATGGAGGGTCAACAGAATGCTGTGGTAAAGTTTGGCCACAGAATAATAATAATATTGTTTTCAGGATTTCATCATAAGATGACATCGGTTTGTGAACCACTGGAAAACCTGGGAGTACTGGATGGCTGTTTCGTCCTAGTTTGGGACTGTTTACAGTACGCACCCACCGGGGTTCGAACTCAGGAGTTTCCGGTTACATGGCGAATCCGTAGACCATTGAGCTGAAGAGTCCCAAACTAGGACGAAACAGTACTCTAATGTTTTCCAGTGCTTCGTTATCCGATGTTAGCTGATGATGAAATCCTTAAAGAAATAAAATGCCTGCAAATCACCAACACTTCAATAATGTTTGCGGACGCGAAATGAAGAGGAAGAAGGCTAGTTTTATGCCAAACTAGCTTTACTGGCTGATAAGCATGTGAACGCAGCTACTGAGGTTGCTCAGCTGCCTTATGGATTAGACTTCGAATTCTTAATAACTGACCTTTAAATATAACACAAAAGCTAATACCACTAGAAGACTTAGTGGCCTGCAGTGATTTATGCATTCTTTTTCCAATTTACTAGTTAACCACGCATTTAAACTCTACTAATCAAACAAAGTGTCGACTACTCTGGTTGGACACTAGTTAGTAGCTTGTCTAATTTGTCTAGTGTTTTCTTTGGTGCAGACTGAATTCTATCGTCAGTCAAGTTTCCATTGTTCCCATTATTCTAGTGGGCTCGCCATCACGATACACTGTGAACTGTTGACAATAAATGGTTGTAGGTTTCGTGTTATATGAGAAGAACGTCGTCTCACTCATATTTAACAGGATAAAAACCAGCAAAGAATTGTCAGACTTTGAATTCATTATTCTTGTGTTCTTATGACGCTAAAATATGCTTACTGGTCTTAGTGCATTTCTGCTTTATGGTCAAAGTTATTAACGAAAGATCAGTTGTCAGTAAACCACAGTACAATAGAAAGACGACCACCAGTTGTTTCAAATTGGTATCCGATAAGTCTACATACTTTCTTCACCAGGTGCAGTACCAAAAACTGAGTTGAGATTCAGTGATCAGTGTGCCCTTTTCCCATCAAAGACCGAAACGTGCGAAACTGACGAGACGATGCATATTAGCCAGCTATTGAAGGGATAACTGGATAGCATACAAAAATTGTCGCTCGACGACTTTCTTATTCCTTTGCGTTCCGAGTGGAACATATGGCTTCAAGCTTTGAATATTCAGCAGGTGTGATGTTGTTTCTACAGCGTATGGTTGCAAGTCACTCGCTAAAACTTTCCTCTTTTACATGCTCGTTACCGGCTTGTATACTAGCCAACGTCTAGGAGTGCATCAATCGGGAATCAAAACCTAGATCTTCCGTGTGGTTGACGAGCATTCTCTACAGCTGAACCATCGATGTACCGTTAGATTATGAATAACGAGAATCTGTCAAGTTATGAATATCTATAGAGGTGTGGTGAGAGATGACTGCTAGCCAAATTGGTAGACAGTAATTGACATCAATGTTTATGTCTCAAATAGTAGTCATGTGAAAACAAGATCAGCAAGGCGCATCTGCAACCTTGAACAAAGCAAAGGACATTCTTTTTGACAAATTCCTCTTCAAGCTCTACAATTATATATACATACATCACTCTATGGCCAAATGTTCGGTTTAACTCTTAAAGCCTGAATTGGTGAAACAGAGCGTATAAGACACCTTTGCATCTGTTGAAAGGATAAAAGATAAATAAATTCATGTCACCGTTTAGCATATCTACCTTGTTAACTAATTAATGTACCACTTATGGAAACAGTAGACTTTATATTCGAAGAGCTTATTGGACGAAACATCGATGTCGACATTCCTGTATCTTTCACAAAACAGAGTCTATCGAAATTTACAATAAATACAGAACTGGGTGACACGGGTTCGAATTCCGGAAGGAACATGAGGTCCTTCAAGGTGAGTGCAGATATGCCCTGCTAACTGGTGAGTGCCAACTAGCACGAGACCTAAGTCAGGTAGGGCTTCCTGTGGCCGATTGGTTCCAACCATCTATTATCAACTATTCACAGTGCATCGTGATGGTGAGCCCACTTGAATAATGGCCACATTGGAAACTTGACTGACAATAGAATTCAGTCTGCACCAAAGAAAAGACTGAACAAATTAAACAAGCTACTAACTAATGTCTAATCAAAGTATCCAATACATTCCTACAGGAGGTCGTTCGCCAGCCTGAATAGTTCAGTGGTAACGTCTCTGACCGCAGCACTGGGTGGCGCTAGTTAAAACTTCAGAAGGGACATAAGTTCTTTCAAGTTTGTAAATACGCCTTTGATGACAAGTACCAACTAGAACGATACCTAGGCCTAAGACTTCCTGCCGATTGCTTCCAACCATCTAATGTCATCAAATCAATGTTCACCGTGATGGCGAGCTACCTAGAATGGTGGCCACATTACAAACCTAACTGAACGAATTCATTCTGCACCAAAAAAGGACGAGACGCATCACACTAGTTACTAGTGTCCAATGAAAGTACATGTTAATCTAGTTAGTAATGAGCCCGATTTAGACTTTTGACAAACCACAATATCATCTAACTGCAATATCTAGGTAGCAGGTGCGGTGAGGGGGCGGGACATTCAAACCCGTGGTCGATTTAATGTTTTCTTATATGAAAGTCTTATTTATTCATTTCCGATATTATGACATTCATAGGCAGCTTTAGTAGGTGGAATTCAAAGGTTTACTAAGTAAACTTGTATGTTGTCTAGAATACTCAAGATTTCTAACTGCCTGTTATGTTTTATTTATCTTCACCTTGTTAAAACTAAGTTCGTAATTAGATTATTGTGTGATTCAGTTGTGTTTATTTGTTTTATTGTTGCAAATTATTTCAGTTGTTGGCAGAAGATATTCGCAAAGAACGTAATCAACTTATGCAGTGTATACGGTATATTGTGAACGAAAATTTTTTCCAAGAATAATCATCAGCCCGTGATATTAAACCCTGATGTGAATGGGGGAAAAATACAAAAATATTGTGTATATATGCTCTGTTGAATCACATTTGTATATTTTAAAAAGAATATATTGTTAATTATTTACATTCACTTTTGCAATAAATCCCCTGTCGATTATTGCTCTTGGTTTATTACGGAGTGCCGGTAAATGAACATTGTGCCACCATCGAAAACATTGTGCTGAACAAAGCCGAGGAAATTCTGGGCACGCTGCACAAACCATCCTGATTACCGTTTCAGTTTGCACGTGATTTCTTAGTTTACAGGCAACACAATCCGTGTTTTCATTGGTGAAAGGTATAGGAATACCATCAAGAAGCATAACTTCACAAAGGGATTCTATAGATCTCAATTTGTGTTTCTGACTTAATGGTTTCCATGCTTCCTCTGAGGTGGAAGTACTTGGTGTAAGCGTTTCACATATACTACTCGTCTGACTGTTAGTAGGTACTGTATTATTGACTACATGGTTTGACAGTTCACACAAATGCTGATTGTCATTTATTGCCTCCCCATTTTCAATATTTTCTAAAAATGTGATAAATATAAAATGAAATTCAATTAAGTTAAAATTTCTTCACATCAACAAGTTCACATTTAATTCACCCTTTCAAGTTTTAATTATGTAATGTCACGCTCACTGATTGCAAGTCACCAGGTCTAAAACAACTATGTTCATCTGAAGCCTGATAGCGAATTCTTTTTGTCAAGAATTACTAAACCACAATGCCAAAGTATTCCCGCGACTAAAACTAAACATTCAGTGGACTCAGTTTTCACCAACCAGCTAGTGACTGCTCTACATGAGGACATTCGTGTGACCGTAGTAGAAAATAAGGCACTTAGTTTTATTGTGTAACGAGATGTCGCGGAAGAACGTTTTCCTGCACAAATGATAAATATCTATAGAAACTAACTAGTGAGAAATTATGACAATATGCTATTTAGATCTAAATACTATCACCGTCGCAAGGATATGAGATAATCATAACGAAAGCATGAAGCTGTTCTGCATTTCTAAATGGTTAGCCAATACACGCTAGGACAGTAACTAAAGCTCAACACAGAAAACTATCTCTGATACTTCATATTTCTCTTTAGCATATATGTATTACCGTTTGCAGAAGCGCTTTAAAACTTCATATATTTACTTGCTTAATTTCTTAAAAGTACAAAGAAGCTAGTGAGTTTCGCGATGTTTACTAACCAAAGTACACGGACTGATATTACAGAAATAACAGAATGGAACTGTTCCAGAGAGTGGAAGCGCAAGCTATCCATTTGCTGAATTAAGTCATAAACATAAGAGGAGTCACTGTCGATACAGGTAAACATTATCTTGGAACTCAGTTACAATTTAATTTTATGCTTTCTTAGACACAAAAACTGTAAGCATATTCCCAGCGTTCTTCTGGTCTGAAATAAGTTTCTGTTTTATGAGACGGAATCTCATTTTATTCGTTGGAGATCGCTGATTGACTTGCACAAACTCAATTATCAAAAACAAATAAATATGCACATACAAGGATACTCTATGTTGCAAGTGAGCCATATTCCAAAGGAAAACTGCATGTAGCAAAGTTAAATTCTTAACAGGTTAAATCCCTTGATCCTGATATTATTTAATATATTCGCCAGTTTTTCTGATAAGAACACCTATAGCACTAAATGCACACTATCACTAACACACTGTTCGAGTTTTCGTAGGTGAACTTTACGAAAAAAGTGAGACAGTTTTAGTTGCCACCCTCCAAATGAAACAAAAAAGAAAAAGGACCTATGGTGATGGGAAACTTGCAGAAGAATAAATAATTGCATGAGAAATAATAAAAATTTAATGAATGAGACATTACAAACAGCGAATGCAACTACGCATTTAACATTAAAACTGGGCCATGTCACCAAAACTCTCAAACCGTTGCTCCTTTGCACCTCCAGGAATACAGCCAGACAGTCTATATCTCCTTACGTGACTCAAACCACTAGTCAAAGGCTTCAAGCATTGATGTCAGGTTTCGACTGCACCACAAATAACCCTCTTCCAATCTAATCTTATGTCGACTAACATTGCTCGACAGGGAAGATGACGGCCTCGAATGTGTAACACGTGTCCCAGTTATCTCAATCGATGCAGCTTCACAACTTTAGCAGTTGACTTGTCCCTCTCATCTAACTTTCTACACCCAACCTCAATATAAGTCATAATATTATGCCATTTTACACGGGAGACAGGACGCAAACAATCATGACTACGCACAGATGATCCTTTCATATCCTCTTCTTTTTACGGTTCTGTCCTACAGTCATGAAGAGAGAAAAAGCGAACTGTTGAACAGTACATACTTTTTGTCGATAGCCAGACATCACGTCTACACCAGGGATAACTTCATTTCACAAATGTACACAAGCCCTCCATATCCATGCTGAGATTTCGTCAGCAATCACTACATTAATGATGATGCAACTTCTCGAGTAAATCTAGTGGTCAACACACCCAACCACTTTACTTCCTATCTTTAAACTATGAGTCGATGCAAAACACTCCTATAGAATCATCTTACATTTCACAGAAGCGAATCGTATGCCAAACGTACTAAGATTTCTGCTCAACGTGTGCAGAAGACTCCGCATATCGTCATCAGATTTACCTACAAGGACAGTACCATTTGCATACTATAAAGATATGAGACTGCTCCTTGCCACAGGTCGCTAAAATCAATCACGGTTACACTTATCAATACATGTACGATGAAATTAAACAAAAACGGAGACACTGGGCGTTCCTGACGGACATCACTGGTCGTCAGATGACAACTCTTCGTATGCTCTTGCACGGCTGTGATTCCCACCCAGTAGAATGCCTTCGTTAGTGTAGTGTTCTTTCTGAGCACTTCCTTCACCAACAGACATTGTCACAGCACCTTTCAGTCAACAGAATAGAATATCGTCTTCATGTCAAGAAGTGGAAAGTGTTGGACGCCAGCAAGTGTCTATGTTCCAGAATTTATCGAAGGCTGAAGATAAGACAAATACTTCTCCTGAGCAACTCCCAGTCTACGCGGGATTCGCGGACCTAGAATTTTAGATATTGTTAGTCAAGCCAATTTCCACAACCCATCCACCTCCCAACCTCGATTGTCACTGGGATAATCAAGAATTTACACCAGCCTACCGAAACCGACTAACTAACTGAGTTTCAACATAGAACTTTGCACAGAAGTGCACCAGTTCAAGTTGCACACTCCATGCAGCATAAAAAGGTAGGGAAAAGAGAGAGAATAGATTCAAAAGAACCACAACGAGTAGAAATGTGCGGGAGAAAGAATAGTAACATGGAAAAATATGACAGTTCAGTGGATGTGGGAGATAACAAATGGTGAATACATCAGCGCCATTAAGAGCTATTTTGAGCCATATCATCAACAGTCTCCAGTCATTGGTTCTTAGCATCATGATGATCCTAACCAGTCTAACGGGACTCTCTCGGATTCCCACACACTGCTTAATATCTTAGTTAACCCGGTGCATACTTCATCAGCATCTTTAAACACCTCTGGAGTCATATCAGGTTTCGCATTTCAGACTAGAAATCAATGTATGAATCTGCTCCACAGCATGTTCAAAGTAATGAGAACATGCAATCAATCAAATATCCGTAACTATATCATCTATTCTCATATCTATTTCCCAGTAAATATATATATATATGTATATATACGGATGCAAAACTTCAGTGACTCTAAAAGTTAAGTGACTGTCGAATGACTAAAAACTCACGATTACTGAGAAATTTCGATTTATTTCACAGTAACATTCGGTAATTTTAATGCGGAATAACATCATTTAGTATGAATAACTGAAAGCTTAGCGGTGTAACAATAACAACAATCTAAGTCTAAAGAGAACTTCGCTATCTGAATAAGATATGATGATAATTATTCCCAATAATTATTGTACCAGTATACTTCCACCTGCTTAATGATACAGGACTGCATAAACGACTTCATGATTTGTGAGTAGCTACAAACATCTAGAAATTCGGACAAGAGATGAAAATTATTATTTTTGATAATAGCCATAATGCTGAATGCCAAGTAATCCACAACGGGAAACTCACGGAACACTTCGAAATGAAAACGGGAGTAAGATAAAGCTGTCTACTATATCCACTGATTTTCCTGATTGCGGTAGACTAGATAATGTGACAGACGACGGGCAACGAGGAAACAGGCACAAAATTGACCCACACAAAAAACACTTCGAGGATCTGAATTCCACCGATGACATATATATGTCTGATTTCTCACAAACTGGAGGATATGCAAGTGAAAAGCAACAAGTTGGCAGAAGAAGCATCAAAGATAGGACTTACTTCAGATGAACATAGAGAAAACAGCTGTGGTAATGAAGATTCCTGGCCAACAGCAACAGCTACAACAACCAGCCAGCATAAATGGGAGGAATCTGAAAGAAGCAACATCCTTCAGCTACCTACCGACCTACCTGGGAAGCATCGTCGTTTCAACTACAGGCGGACGGAACTGATGAGCACATCAAAGCGAGGATCATCGAGAAAGCAAGGCAAGCTTTCGTTACTCTCAAGTCTGTGTGGAGATCAACAGCTCTCAGTATGAAAAATAACATCAGCATTTTCAACTCCAATGTGCAGTCAGTGCTACTCACTATATGAATCAGAGACTTGGCACAGCGCTGCGTCACAAAGGGCACTTCAAACGAACTACACACCTTCATCAAAACCTGTCTTCGCTCAAGATCAGATGGCCGGCCAGAAAAGATTTCTGGCAACGAACCAACCCAGCAGGAACCAATTGTGCAACAAATATGCAGGAAGAAATGGAGGTGGATTAGCCATACTCTGAGAAAACAAACCATCAAGTGAGTGACATCACACACCAGGCCATCACTCGAGTGGAACCCGAATGGGAAGCGGCGAGTTGGTCGCC